GCTAAGAAAGGAAGATACCACTAAGGAAGGAAAGATGCTGGTGTTATTTAACACAATGAATCTGTTCCAGGGGCTTGATAATTTTTTAATTGTACATTTGGTCCCTTTTTAAATATTTTAAAAATATACTTTTCCATTTAGTTGACTCAGGATTCTGCCCTGGGCCATAGAGCCCTCACCCCTTCACTCAGCCCTTCCTGCTCAGGAACAAGGCTGCTCCTGTCCCTCAGTGTACATGGCCAGCACTCACCTTCTCCTTTGTACTGACTACAATCCTCACGACATGAGGTACATGGGTGATCTTACCTTAGGTCATATTTCCAGTGACAGCAGAGTTGGGATCTGCACTCAGTGAAGTAGAACCAGGGCCACATCTTACTAGCACCTGTCGATGCTGCTTATTGCTCTTATGTACAGAGGAGGAGACTCAGTGTTGGAGAATGAGTATAGAATGCCCACCAGGGGCTGGGAATGTGGCTCAGGCGGTAGCGCGCTCGTCTGGCGTGCGTGCAGCCCGGGTTCGATCCTCAGCACCACATACCAACAAAGATGTTGTGTCCGCTGAGAACTAAAAAATAAATATTAAAAATTCTCTCTCTCTCTCTCTCTCTCTCTCTCTCTCTCTCTCTCTCTCTCTCTCCCCTCTCTCACTCTCTCTTTAAAAAAAAAAAAAAAGAATGCCCACCAGGCATGTGCATAAGGAGCAGTGACCAGAGTGCAAGTACAGCATGCAGGAATCCCAGCAGTTGTGCAGGGCCATGTTCTGGAAGGGAATCAACTATAGCACAGGGCAAGGTCAAGGGAGGATAATGTGGGTCCTCAGAAATGAGATGAAGGAAAATCCTGCCCAGAACAGACAATGCCTTTGTCCCCCGCAGAGGAATATTACTTCAGTCCCAGAGAGAAGTGAGAGCTACTTACATATTTAAACATAAAACTTTAGGCCTCAGTTCCTCTATGGTAAACTGGATACTCATCCCTGGGTTTCCTCAGGGAACTGGTTCTAGGCTATCTGGGATACCAAAATCTGCAAATGTTCAAGCCCTTTGTACAAAGTGGCAGTGGTGCTATGCACATATAATCTACTCACATTTTCAGAATACTTTCAATTATCTCTATATTCCTCATAATGCCTAATATATCGTGAGTGCTATGTAAACAGTTGTTTCTTTTAGAAATAATGGCAAAAAATCTGTGCATGTTCAGGACAGATGCATTTTTTTCCCAATTATTTTTTATTGAGGTTGGTTGAATCTGCAGATGTGGAACTTGTGATGTATGAAGCCAACTCTATAAAATTATTATTCTGCAGCATAGATTTATCCAGACAACTTTCCTGCTGCATAATCTCTTCATAGCTATACATTTGATTAGTAAAAATTCTGGGTAGGCAGCTAATGGACATAGCATTCTGCAGAGTGGTGGTTCTCAAAATGGGGTTGGCCAGAGTGGCAGCTGAGGTGAGTCACTTGTGGACTTGCTAAAATGAAAATTTTCCCATCCTTCCCAGACCAATTGAATCAGTACATTGGGGATGGGGCCTGGAAATGTGTTTCATGGTCCTGGTGTCCACCTGTTCAAGTTAGAGAAATACTAACCTAGCATATGGCCTGTAAAGTAAACAATGTGTCATTTCTAGCTGAGAGGCAGAGGACAGAGCAATGGAATGCCAAAAAGAGAAGCTTAATGCTAGCCTGAAAGAAAATGTGGCCCTCTACCCAACCACCTACCCACCATTTTCTTAATTGCTCCTCAAACAGGCTTACACATGGGTACCAACAATCTCCCAGATTCTCACACCTCTGGGGAAATCTCTTCAGAATATACTTTTAGGAATAATAAATACTAATGATCAAATTATGAGTATGTCATAAGGTAGCCAATACTGATATAACAATTACACTTTTAAAATTTGTATGTATGTATGTATGTATGTATGTATTTATTTATTTAATTAGGTGGTGCTGGGGACTGAACCCAAGGCCTTGTGCATGCAAGGTAAGCACTCTACCAACTGAGCTACATCCCCAGTCAATTACATTTTTTTTTTAAAGTTTCTGATGAACCAGAAGATGCCTAAAATTATTCCACCTTTAAGGCCTAAATAAGTTAGTACTGAATTTTTCTATTGACTTGATAAGAAAACCCAAGCATCCTCATTTTCTTCTAAACTAGTAATGCACTGGAAAATAAACCTTTTTCTCCTTATTCAGGATATTGGAGTTAGTAACAGTTGCATAAAAATAAGGTTTTCCAAACAAACATCTTATCTTTATATGGAAGGAAGTTCATGAAGAAGGAATTGACGTTTTTCCCCAACAACAACAACAATACATTTTTGGGTTCCTTTCCCAGAAATTAGTAAATAACAAAATACCTTTCAATAAAAAAAAACAAGCATGTTCATAGCAAATACTTAAATCTAATCCATATGCCATTCATATGCTTAAAAAAAGAGATGGTTTCCAAGAGCCAATTTCTCCACTCATTCTGTGCCAAATGAAACAGATTTCAGTAAAAAGCTTTTACTGCCTCAGAGGGAACTCTGTTCATCCTACAGAGCATAAAATACTATTTATTTTTCATTCAGAATTCCCAACTCTCTACTTACTGTACATTTTCCCACTCAAGCAGGCTTTACCTACTCTGAGTAAGTGCAGTAATGATAGAAATGTAAAACATCTTCTTTAGATGGAAGAAATTTTAAAAATGCTAATGCGGCTCAATATCTACATTCTATCTCATTAAGAAAGTGTAATTTTTATTGAAAAAGAATCCTTACATAATATTGATCCTGGAATTCATAATTTTCACTACTAAAGAAGTATCTGTCCCTACCAAAAGCAAAAGGACATCCCCAAGAGTATGTAATTGAAAACATGTTGTTGATATGGTCTGTTTGTTATGAAAAAGTTCAGAATCTAAACCAAGCAAATTAAAGAGATGCACTGTGGACAATCACAGGAAATAGCTTCATATTCTATTTCCATCATTTAATAATGCAAGTGAACAATAGAATGATGTACCATTTCTAAATAAATTTCCTTTTATCAAAACATAACTACAATATCATGGAGAACTAAAAATAAATGATTGGCATTAGAAAATGTCTGAGATATGAAAATAAAAATATTTTCTCGTAAAATGTATTTCATTACAGGCTTTTGAGATGGGTTTCTAAGGACACGAATAAAAGGAGTGTATACAGGAATAGGGGGTCTTTAAGACATGAGGTTAGAGACACTCCTGGAGGAATAAAGAAATATGACCAGAAGATACACTTTCAAAGCAAGATGGAGATAGATGGATACACATCCAGACTGATAAGGGTATCAAGCAAAATGTCAAAATTCTGCCTCTGAGATCTACTACTGCAAGTCCTAACCAAATTTGGACAAACTTAGTTTCTAGTATATTTTAAGGAAACACCACTTCATAAGTAAGCAAAACAGTATCCAAACCCAAAGATTAGCCATGCTGTGATGCTCTTGTGTATTATGATGCAACAGGCAGGAGTCAGAAAATAAAGTCCATAAAGAGAATGAGTGGACCTTCAGTGTGCCTCATGTGATGGTGTGCAATGCAAGGCATTCTGTCTGCCCACAAAGTGGGGATTCAGGTCATCAGAAACATGCTATGCTAATGAAGAACAAGGCATCTTTACCTCACATCTTGACAGCCTTGGGAAATTCTGCTTCTCAAAAGTTTAAAGCATAAGTCCAGCCTTCCTRTCCCTGGATATGATCTCTGCCACACTTCACCCAAATGAGGACAGGTTGAGAAAAATAAAAAGTTTATGCTTTGTTAAGGTGCCACATTTGTTGTGGTGTCACATTCTAAGCTAAGAAAAGAGAAGTTGCTATTGTCCTCCCTTATGTGTGAAGGACCCCCTAGTAGATGCCTGGAACCTCAGACAGTATCAACCTCAATATACATTATGTGTTTTCCTATGATAAAATTTCACCTTTTCAATTAAAGGAAGGGCTTTTCAGCTTCTCTTTAGCATATACTAACTGCCAGCATTGCTGTCTTTGCAGTTTGGGGTCATTATTAAGTAATAAAAGAGTTACTTGAACACAACAGTGACAGTCAATCCTGACACAGCTACTGTTACTAACGGGCAGGTAGCATATTCAGTATGAATACAGGAATACCCTGGACAAAGGGATGAATCATGTCCGAGTCAGGACAGAATGTAACTGCATGAGCTCTGCTATGCTACTCCAAAGAGCATGCAACTTAAAATTTATAAATTGCTTCTGGAATTTTCCATTTAATATTTATGGATGTGGTTGACCACAGGTAACTGAAACTGTGGAAAATGAAACCACGGTTTGACTGCACTGTCAAATAATGCCCTACCCTTGGAAAGGGAGGGTTTATAGTTCAAATAATATATCCTAGCATCAGCAGGAAGCTGAAGGAAAGATAGCTGAGTGAAGACCTCAGGGAAGGAACTCAGATGCTGAAGACAAGGCTTTCCCCATCAGTATCTAGGCATTAAATTGCTCTAGAAATAAACATCAAAAAGAAAGCTTCTTAAATACCAGGCCTCACAAAATTAATTTCATATGATCCTGACAGCAACTTGATAGGCAAAAATATCCTAAGCTTTCTGTGAACCTAAATTATTTGGGGCATCACTATTATATATTATCTCTTTTACAAGCTTCAGATTCCTAAAGGCACCTTTTTATCTGAGCACGTTTCTCATTGAGCAGTCACACTGATGCCCTCAAAATTTCACTGTGAAAATAAAATATATGTTCATCAACAGGCATAGACCTTTAATTACTCAAGGCTCCAAAATAGTTTCCTGCCTTCAATAACTGAAGGAGAGTGGTATCTCACCTTTATGTCTAAATAAAGCTCAAATGTTAGCCCTGAACACTCTGCTTGCTAAAGCCACAAATATGAAGTGTTTCCAAGGAGATGTTGAGAGTCAACTGGGTCACTGAAGAGGCTCTGATCGTGACAGTCAATCGCACTCACTGCCCCACCTTTTCAGATGTCTTGTCTTGAACCGGTGGCCCCGCCCTTGGAGGAGGAGGGGCTCTGCGCTTCTTCATCTCCGACTTCACAGACACCCCAGAGATGTTGCTCAGGGAGAGGGATGGACCCAGCGTGAGGGAACGCGAATGCACTGATGGGGAGTTGGGTGTTGTTAAGCAGCCCTGTTGGGGAGAGACAAACACAATCTTAGTAATGAGTCCATCCTTCTGGACAAATGCCCTGAAAACAAAGCAACAAACCATTCACTCAAAAGTCTAATAGCATCTATATCCACTGAAAGGCTTGAATGACTAGAGCAAAACCTCTATTTTCACTTTCCTTGGAAAATAATAGAGAACATTACCTTAAAGACTTATGCTTTAAGGTTTATATTCTTACCCATGAAGAAAATGGMAAACTTTTTAAAGCTTTGAGAACATTTTGTGGCTAGAATCATTTCAATATTCCCATTCAACCCATAGGTATGAGCTAGCTTCCATAAAACTTTAACCTATCAGATGGGGTCGTGGACACCAAAGAGGGGAAGGAGCAGATCAAAATGTACATCTTACTGGAGAAGAACACTAAGAGGTTTTTCACCTTCTGGTGATTTCTTCTATCAGAAGTTATGAAAAGTGACGGTATAGGGYAAGGGTTATGCTTTAAAGACTCTTTCTGACCATCAGAAAGAGGACTGAATAACATAACAATAAAATGAAAGAACTGCAACCCAACATACTAACTCAATGTTCTCAAGGAGTAATCCTCATACCAAAGGAACAGGCTAAACGACCCAAAACATTTTTTTAATCCTTTTTCTTCCTAGGGTCTGCCTGATAAAAAACAAAAAACAACACACACACAAAAACAAAACAAAACAAAACAAAAAAYGTGTCTATACAGAAAGATCAGCTAGAGAACTAGCAGTCTAGGGCATGCCCAGCCATGGTACTTCTACTTATACACATTTACTGATGTCTTAGCACTTGTAACCCTGGACATAGTCCATAATGAATCAACACAAAAAGGTGGTAAGCCACAGATTGTGAAGCAAACTGTCCATGTTTGATTTCTGGTGTGTCACTTTTAAGTTATATGACCTTGGGAAAGTTTTTTTTCCTCCCTGTCTCAGTTTATGTCCCTTAAAATTGGGGAAAATAGTCTCTATATTGCAAAGTTTTATTGTAAACTAAATGGGTTACTACATGCAAAAGAGCTTGAGGGAATCCTTGGCACAAAGTAAGCACCCAATATGTGTTAACTACTATGATTATTCTAAAATGGCTTATTCAGAACTTTCTACCCATTAAAATGTGAGCTCAGCCAGGTGCAGTGGTGCATGCCTGTAATCCAAGCAGTGGCTTGGGAGGTTGAGGCAGGAAGATATTGAGTTCAAAGCCAGCTTCATCAAAAGTGAGGTGTTAAGCAACTCAGTAGACCCTGTCTCTAAATAAAATATAAAATAGGGCTAGCAATGTGGCTCAGTGGTTTAGGGTTCAATCCTGAGTTCAATCCCCAGTATCCCCCCCAAAAAAAGTAATCTCCATGACAACAGGGATTATCTCCCATTTTAACCCATTCCCATACCCTGAGCTTCCAAGGGTGGAGCCTGGAGGGCTCTTGAATTCATATGTGTGAAAATGAATGCATGATGCCTGAGCCTTTGAATAACTCTGGCTCCACATTTTATATAATAAACTTGTGGGTAAGATTTCATGTCAACAACTAGATGTTCATATTTCAAATGAATATACAAAGGATAGATATCCTAGTAAGCAACAGCCCTGTAATACTTGTACTCAGACACAAATTCAATTATGCTCAAACACAAATTCTACTATCATTTGGTTTCCTGAGAAAACTTTTGAGACTCAGAATTTCTTGAGCTTAAATATGAAAGCCAAAGGACAGGACACTCCAGGAAGATTGCTTTTTTAGTCCGTTCATGCTTCTTTATGAGATGCTGAGTGTCAAAGACAGCCAGTTGCTTAGTCATTACACACAGAGTTCCTAAAGGAAACAGGCAAGGGATGGTGTAGAAATTAGCCTGATACCTAGAAAACTTGTCAATGTCTACTTCGGCTTCCATGGGAAAATATAAATCATTTCCCCTAGTCCCTGAGTTTTGCAGCCATCACACTTATCACTAAGCCAACAAGACAATGCAAAGTGAGCTCCACTGAATGTTTTTCTCTGCCTTATGTCTTACCTCCATAGCAACCAGGAGAACTCAAGGAGACAGAACCTGATGATGCAGTACTAGATGACCAAATGAAGTGCATGAAGCAAACCAGAGAAGTGGGGTGCTCATCCAAGCACTGGCACAGTGAAGATATTTCACTGAATGGCTAATTAACTTAAATACCCCCAAATTCAGGGAGAGTGCAAACCTCAGCTTTTCTCATTAGCAGCCACCCTGCATTTAGCCAAAAGCATAGACGCTGGACTCTCTCATATTCCTTGATTTCTTTATCTATGTCTGCTAACAGTGACTGTATACACACAAATACACACACACACATACACACATACACTTAACTCATAGGACATGCACATGCATACAAGCTTATATTTTGAAATTTGATTAAAGCTATGATACTCAATGGAGAACCACACCCCTACACTATTCGGCATCCCAGAAACACCCTGCTCAGGACAATGCATTTCATAACACTCTATCTAATTGCTTCTCTTCTCCACCCTGTCTAGACATGGAACTTCCAGTTTCCCTTGTCCTCAGTTCTCACCACAACTATGTGTGCCTGACTGATCACTCAACACTGCTGTGAATTTATCTCTGTCCTTTAAATGCCCTGAGCTTTTCATAATTTCCTTGCAGACTACTCCTTTAAAAGCTTTTTAYAGGAGCACTTATAAATTTTGATTTTGAGTTTGAATTTTACAATCTGTTGCTCTCATAAGCATCCTGATACTCCAATAGTATCAATTCCTAAGGTAAGGAAAGCATATAGATTTTATAGTAGATAACACCATCATCTTCAAAATGAGGCAAATTCCTTTTACTTCAAAGTTGTTACAAGCATTAAATGAAGGAATTTAGACAAAGCACCTTGAACATTTTTATTATATTAGAGGTATCCAACACATGTAATTTCCTGCACTTCTGACAAATATTTTTTATAAGGATGACCTCAGGCCACAAGGAGATAACCTTGAACAGCAGAAGCCAGAAGTGCATCCAACCCCAGCACAATTTCTGCCTTCAACTCTCTCCAGGCAATGAGCATGTAAAAATCTCTATCTCTGTAACTTAACTGAATTTTGACACAAAGGTGTGATTTTATTCCAAATATGCTCTACAGAGTCAACAAACAACTCTTTCCTCACCATACTCCTAAGGAGGTGGAGTTCAGGGTCCAGCAGACCCTCTCCTTAAGTCTGCTACTCTACAGTGCTTCAAATCAACCTTCCACTTGTGGGCAGCCAGGGATACTTGTGGTTTAACTCTTATCTTTCTTCTTTCCCCACTGCTGAACTTTGTGCACAGAATAGAAAATAATCCAAGAATAATGGGTGAGGAAAACATCATTAAGTATTGGATGCCCTTGAAAATACTGAGTCATATCGACACTGAATAAAATGGAAAACCAAAAATTTATTCCATACAGTCTGGAGGCAACACAGATTGGTTCTCATCCTTTCACCCCACTTCCCTTGGCTCTGGCTGAAAAGTTCTATGAGGAATGGAGCACCATTTGCCTGCAAGAGGGATTTGGTTTCCTGTTCCTTGTCCAAACTAGTCAGCATCTTTTTTTCCTTGAAATATCAAGTCCTTTTCTGTAGGGAAGTGAGTCATGCCTTCCTCCAAAGGTTGGCATCACAATCCACAGTTTCATTATTACAATCTTATCAGATTTTCTCAGGAGTTGCAAGTGCAATCAGATAGATCATTAAGAAAAAATGATGGGATAACAGAGAAAAGGAACAAAGCAAACACAATGTTCTGTTTCAGGCTTTGTGTGACATTGATTTGCAGGGTATAAACTTCCACCTGAGGAAGCTGCTGTCAAGAAGAACTCTCCAGACAAAGAAGAACACCCTAGAGGGGGTGGTGGAGTATGCCCCCTGTAATCCCAGCAATTCAGTAGGATGAGGCAGAAGGATCCAAATTCAAGGTCAGCCTCTGCAATTTAGTGAGACTCTCAGTAACTTAGCAAGACATGTCTCAAAATAAAAATGAAAAGGACTGGGGATGTAGTTCAGTGGTAACATACCCCCAAGTTAAATTCCCAGTAACAAAAAAGAAAAAAAAAGAATCTGTATTCACATCACATCCTCATGGAGGATAGCTGATTAATTCATTACTTTTGGCAAAAATCATTGGATCTGACTCTATTATACACACATCTAGAGAGGCAGAAGAAAACTAGTAATTTTAAAATCTGAGTATGGGTTCAAAATGAGAACATCTTCATCTACAAAGATAATTTTGCCACAAGTCCTAATTTTAAATTAAAAATACACACACACACACACACAACATTGATTGCCAAGTACATTGGCACAGGCCTTTAATGCCAGCTATTTGGGAGGCTGAGGCAGAAGGATTGCAAGCTCAAGGCCATCCTCAGCAAAATAGTCAGACCCTGTCTCAAAATAAAAAAAATAAAAAGCCTTAGGGATATGGTTTAGAGTTCAATCCCCAGTACCCACTAACATACACACACACACACACACACACACACACATATATTACTTTGAAATGTACATACTGTATCATCAAGCTGTATTTTCCTTTTATTTGATTTTCATCAAAACCCTGGCTTACTATACTGCTGACAATGACAAAAAGCCCTCTCCATATACTGCAGTCAATACCTGGAGCTTCTCTGGGGGAAGCAAGCAAAACACACACACACACACACACACACACACACACACACATACACACACACACACACTCACCACCACCACCACAACAACAACCATGGGCTTACAAAGGAGATCTGTTCCTCCTTAAAGAACTCTGAAATCCCAAAATGCTGGGACCAGTCACTGCCTCTAAACCAATTCAGAGCATCATATAGGCACAAGACTGCAGAACCAGCACTGGGCAGCAAGGGCACTGCCATGAGAGCATAAATGCCTAGTGGGACCTGCTGATATAATTCTGGAAGCACTAAGTGTCCCTGGATTAACTTTGGGATTTATAGGTATCACA